GGGGACCCTTAAGAAAGAAACTGAAGGCTTGATTTTTGCTGCACAAGAACAAGCACTCCAAACCAATATGATGAAAGCTAAGATCCGGGGAAGGGGTGGAGTGACAGCAGCAAGAGCAGAGGAATCTCCAGTGCTGTGGGAATCTCTGTGTAAACTCTGGGTCAGCAGACACCCCCCCCAGCAGTGGAAGGGGAGGGAAGTTCCACAGGAGAGTGGGCTTGCAGCGAAGGAGTGATGGAAAAACTCCAAATTCAGAGAGCAAATCTGTCTTCTTGAGAGCTTCCTTTCTGAAAGCATCTGGCTCGGGCGATGCCATGTATGGTGAATTAGCTGCCTAACTTTGCCAAGATGGGAAATGTGAAGAAGATTTTTACCTGACTACATGAACAGTGAGTAACTGACCTTTTAATCAGCATCAGTAAGCATAAATCAATTCATGCTGCTGACTTTAAAGCTGAGAAGAAATAAACAAAAGCAGCAAGGGAGTAATTTGTATCTCCATAACATTGGTAAATTTTTATCTGTGTCACACTTTAGAGAAAGAGAAACTAGTTAAAAGACACGGACAGAGAACACTTTCTCATCCCCCCCATCCTCCTTTGATGGCATAGACTATTATGCTATAAAATTTAGAGATTTAAGAAGCTTGGAGTTAAAGTTAGTCCTTAATAATGGCACTTGGGGAGAATTCTGGTATTGATAGATTAAAAGGGAGAACCACCTCAAGTGGCCTTGCTGTGAGCTGCGAATGGTGGGTTATAAATTAAAACAGCTCCTGGCTGAAGCTGGATTTACAATTGGATGTGTTAAGTGAGAGTCAGGGTCTGGACTGACTCATTTAACATGAAGATGGACTGATTAATGGTTTGACTGTTTTATGGCTCCTAACTGAATTAAACCTAGAGGAAAGGAAAAAAAGGAAAAAAAACTAGAGTTGGTGGATGTGGCGCAAATGGGAGAGAAAACAGAAGCAGGCTTGCTGAATTATAAGAATCAGTAGTGGAACATGTGAATTTCTTAAAGCGGAACTCTTTTATTTCTCAGCAGAAACTGTTATTCTACAATAAATCTACAAGTCCATCAAAACTCACAATGGAAGACTTTTTAAAACTATATACAGGAGTTTTAAATGAACATTGTCAATCAACTTAATAATTACATTAAAACCTAGACCCTTGAAATTAAGGCAATACTCTCAGGACACAAAGAGGATATCCAGATGGAAGATTATATCACTAGAGGAGCAGAAGCAACAGAAAAAGAGACTTTAGAACTAAGACTGAAGGAAGATAAAATAACAGGCTTTTATGAGAGGAAGGTTCGGTTGGATGAGTTGGGGATTTATACTAATGAGAAGATTACAGTACTCCAAAAATGTATATTGGAGAAGAGAATTTAAAGGAGGAAAGTGTGAAGGCAATGAAGTTGGATGGGGTACAAAATTCTGGTTATAGTTTAGATATATATGATTGGCTTCAAAGGCAGAATGATAATTATAGTGGGATAAAATCAGTAAATTGGAGAGAAAATGGTTTAAAGAGATTCTATAGATGGCATTTTAAAACGGGTAAAAAGGGTGTGAGAGATTAATTCAGGTTATAACAATGTAAGCAATTTGGGATTTCCAGTTTATATATGGAGCTGATAAGTATAATAAAAAATGAGAAATGTCCTTGCTGAATATAATAACAGAAATTATAGATTGAAAGATACACACAAATATATACATCAATTTGTCAGTAATTCTGGTCTCTCTTTGTTTTAAATAGTTGATAAGTGCATATAACTATTAAATTAGAAATCTAATATATTAGATATTATTGATTGTAAGATAGGTATGTAGACATAAGATATACTGTTTAGAACTTTGGACTTTCAACTATATAGGTAACATATAAGTATATATAACTTTGAAACTAGAAATGTTTCATGTTAAAAACAATAGCAGAAATTGTTGAGTGAAAGATTATATTTCAGATAATGTATTGTGTTAATCATTTTAAACTAGGAAGATTTTATTGAATTTAAAATCAGAAGCATTGATTTGAAATACACACACACACACACAGAGTGGCGGATATAATATGGTTTAAAGATGTTAGTAGGGCAATATGGCTTATGTAGTCAGAACTATATATTGGATATGACTGTATGGAAAACACCTCCGTGCATGTTTTGTATGTCTCGTATGTTTGTCTGTCCAACATGCTACTGAGGAAGAGCAGAGGATATGTACATTTAGCCCCAGAGCTAATAAAGCAGTTGGGCCAAAGCCGAAAGGACGCTCAGCTGTGAACGTGCCTAGAAGTGAAAGGAAAGTCCGATGCTGCAAAGAAAAATACTGCATAGGAACCTGGAATGTAAGATCTATGAACCTTGGGAAGCTGGATGTGGTCAAACAGGAGATGGCAAGAATTAATATTGACATCCTGGGCATCAGTGAACTAAAATGGACAGGAATGGGTGAATTCAACTCAGATGATTATCATGTCTACTATTGTGAGCAAGAATCCAGTAGAAGGAATGGAGTAGCCCTCATAATCAATAATAATAATAATAATAATAATAATAATAATAATAATAATAATAATGATGATGATGATGATGATGATGATGATGATGATGATGATGATGATGATGATGATGATGATGATGATGATGATGTGCTGTCAAATCAGTTCTGACTTATGGTGACTCTTTTCAGGGTTTTTTAAGTACAGAATACACAGAAATACTTTACCATTCCCTTCTGAGGAGTGCATCCTGTGACTTCTCCCAGGAGGCACAATGAAGAATCAAACTCCCAACCTCTGGTTCTGCAGCCAGATACCGAAAGCTCTTTGGGGTACTAATGATAATAATGAACCTCCATTAATTAACTTTGGGGTATATTTTCTTTTCAATTTTTAGATTCGGTGTTCTTTGTTCTAAATAAAAGTTATTTGAATGTAGCTTTATTTTCCTAGGTTTTACCAGTTCTGCAGCAACTTATGATTCGTTTTAGTAAGGCCTGCCAAGACTTTGAATTAACAATCAGCCTGAAGAAAACACAAGACATGGGCCAGGGTGTGGACTCACCTCCCTCTATTACCATCTCTACACAAGAATTGGAGGTTGTTCATGACTTTGTGTACCTTGACTCAACCATCTCTGACACTCTCCCTAAATGTCGAGCTGGATAAATGCATTGGCAAAGCAGCTGTTCTCTAGACTCACAAAGAGAGTATGGCTTAATAAGAAGCTGATGGCATATACCAAGATCCAGGTCTCTAGAACCTGTGTCCTGAGTACACTCCTGTACTGCAGTGAGTCCTGGACCCTTTGTGCACAGCAAGAGAGGAAGTTGAACATGTTCTATATGCATTGTCTCCAATTCATTTTTGGTATCGCCTAACAGAACAAAGTTCCAAATAGAGTAGTCCTAGAACGAGCTGGAATTTTTAGCATGTATACATTACTGAAACAGCAATGTCTACTTTGGCTTGGGCATGTCGTGAGAATGGCTGACGGTCGGAAGATTTCCTGTATGGAGAATTAGTGCAGGTAAAGCATCCCAGAGGGAGACCACAGCTGCGATACAAGGATATCTGCAAGTGGTATCCAAAGGCTTTAGGAATGGACTTCAACAAATGGGAAACTTTGACATCTGAGCATTCAGTCTGGTGGCAGGCAGTGCAGCATGGCCTCTCCCAATTTGAAGAGACCCTTGTCCAGCAGGCCAAGGCTAAGAGGCAGTCCCAAAGCCTGCAAAATCAGGGAGCTGTACAGGGGACCGATTGTATTTGTCTTCAGTGTGGAAGGGATTGTCACTCTCAAATTGGCCTTCTCAGCCACACCAGACATTGTTCCAAGACCTCTATTCAGAGCATGTTACCATAGTCTCTCAAGACTGAAGGATGCATATACATCAGTTCTGCACAAAATGCACAGCCAGGCAGCAGTGGAAAACTGATAGACCTCTCTTTTCTCAGCAGGCTATTTTTCTTTGGGCACACCACAGGCATCTTGCCACTTTGCCCAGTGGAACTAGCCTTCTGCCTAGCATGGAAAGCTAGATTCAGCTTGAGGGATTTGGATTCACAGAGTATAAATTCAATAAAAGAAAGAAAGAAGAAAGATTCAGATTCCCATTTAGCCATGAAAACTGGGTGGCATTGAGCCAGTCACTCCCTCGGGTTAAACAGAAGGGTTGTCGTGGAGGTAAAAATGGAGAGGAGGCTCCTATTTGCATCCTGAAGTGTCATCATGCTTCCTTTCAAGAAAGAGAGGACATGAATAACAAAATAAAAGACAACGTGAAGTTAAAGCTGGCAGCTTGGATAGGCATCTTCACTGTGAAAGAGGAAGACACTGCGCGCACACACACACACACACATGTTGTTCTGTGTGGGGAGCTGTGGATTTTAGTCAGATGTCTTTGAATAGCATAAACAAGACAGCAGAAAGTGAGAAATGGTGTGGGTCGGGAGAGGGAGAACGAGAGGCCGCAGCCCAACACGGGAGAGCTGTGAGGGAAATGGTGCGGGACGCGTCTGCCGGAGCGGGACGGCCTATTTATTGATGCTCTCTTCCCCGCCGGCCGCCCCTTGGCCAGGAGGAGAGGGGAAGGAGGCGCCTGCGAGGGCGGCGCCCTCGAGCTGCGCTGAGGAAGTTTTACATTCGAGCTGTAGAGGGGGAAATTCAGAGAGGGGAAAAGAACCGCCGGCCGCGGACTCGCCGCATCACAGAGCGAGAGCGGCGGGAGGAGAGGTCGACTGACTCCCTCGAACTTCACAGCTCCGGCAGCTCCCTCAACCAGGGTGGGGTGTATCAGGGGGCATCCCTCGGCTCTCCCGCTTTTCCTCGGCTGCAGCCGCTGCCCGCCGCCGCTGCTTTTGCTCCGACCGCCACCAGCGCGATGGGGGGCTCTGGATCCAGCTTGCTCGACGAGAGCAAGTGCACCTACATCCGAGGTAAAGCGCGCGAGGGGGCGGGGAAGCGACGGCATTTGGACGAGTGCGCGATTCCCAGGCGAGGGACCCTCGCAGAAAAAGCCCTTCGGCTTCCATCCAAGCGTGGGAAAGGGGGCTGCGAGGGCGCAGGCACTGGTCGGCAATAAAGCCCCGAGAAATTTGGGCGCGTGGGGTGTTGCTCCGAACTAACTGGGAGAAGGCGCGCGCCACGGTTGGCGCTGCCTGGGACCCTTCAGGCTGGCCTCGACTAGAGAAGGAGGAGTTCCTTGGTTCAGATGGACGCGTCCCTTTCCAGCCTTCCCTAATTCTCAGTCATTCCAGATGAAGGCCGGATCTGGCCTCATCTACACACTAGACAACAGAAGTGACTGCGGATTCAGGAAGGGACGTGTCGCTCTGACCCACCCACCCCCTCCAAAGCCCACCCGGTGAAGATTCTTTAGGGCTGTCCAGGCTTCCTTTTACTTTTTCGGGCTCGTGGCTTATAGCCGCCGCTGCTCTGAGGTCTTCGTGCGGAAAGGTGACCCGAATAAGTTTACACACGAGTAATACACACATGCGGAAGGAGATTCCTGACAGGACAGGACAGGACCCCGCAGGGTCTGAGCCCTGCTGTGTTCGGTGGGAGTCGTTTCGTGCTACACGTGGGCAAGATCGGGCGGCAGGGCGGATTTGGGCTGGCTCCGTGGTGACTGCAGGCAAGAACAAGTGGCAGGGGGTTCCCTTGTCTGATGCCTCATGTGGGAATACAGGTGCATAAACACCTGCAGGTTAGGGGACTACTGTCCACTTCTTCTCCCTCCATACATACTGTATAGATAGGGTGCTCACTTGTTTACAGTCACTTGTAAGGAGTGACAATTAAAAGTCTTGGGGCTCCAACCTTTTTTGTCAATCAGTTACATGAGTCTGTTACTACACTTGCTCTTAGCCAGAAGGCCCAGGCTGTTAGTTACATTTTGGAGCATTAGAAATCCATCCACAGTATTTATTTCAAAATGTGCATACTTATAAAAGCTGTATACTGCAAATAGAAGAGGTCTCCCCTCTTGCAGAAGACTAATACATAGACACCCCACAATATGGTAATTCATTATTCTGTGCTAGACAGTGAACTGTGCCTAAAAGAGACAAAGAAAAATAAACCAAATTCTAGCAAAGTTAGAGGACAAGGCAAGGAAAGAATTGGAGCAGTTTACAGTTAAGGCTGGTCAGAGTTGACCCACTGATGTCAATGTGATTTAAGTCCTGTTTATTTCCATGGGTATAATGGATCCAACCCACAGAGACAGACACATATACATACTGTACCTGTAAGTAAAAAATTGTCCTTAAGGCTTAGAATAATGATCAACCTTTTTTTTTCAAAAGAGGAAACTTTGCAAAAGTGAGTAGAAAAGGGAAGAGTTGAAAGGGAGAGTGTAGAATGTCAAATCTTTTCAAACTGACTAGAAGTTAGTTAAAACCATAGCATTTGAAGCGCAGCTAGAATGTACGTTATGGATTATGCAAGTAGCAAACAAGTCTGACAAGATGTCAGCAGGGCTAATCGGAAGTGTCAAGAAAATTGTAAAAGGCAAGAAGGCTTCCCTTGCTCATAGGAGAAAACAAAGAGGAGCACAACCTCTGGCATAACAAAGGTAAGCTAGCAATAACATGAATGGAAAAACACAGATTTGAGGATCATGGCATTTCCTTGAAACACGTTAGGTTTAGATCACTTAGTAAGGATGTAGTGAGACAGGGGAATTGCTGAGAGAGAGCATTAATTTTTCAGAGAGGTTTCAAAGAACTCAATCAAATGGAAGTGACAAAAGGCAAAGTTTTAGGGGTACATGACTGGATCTGCACACATGTGCACACACTCTAGCCGCCTAGAGTGGTCGAAATGACTAGATAGGCGGGGTATAAATACAATAAATAAATAAAATAAAAATGTATCTGAAAGCATTTTGGGAACTAGCATGTGAAAATGCTGACCTAAATTGCATGGGTCATCACTGAAACTAGCCTCCATACTGAAGGATAGGCAGGTACTCACCAAAATATGAGTTTTAAAGAAGAGATCCAGAAGGGACCAGGAGATTATGGGTGACTTAGTTTAATGTCTGATTTTCTTAATTTTATTTTTAAAATCTCTTAATTTCTGTCTTTCTTAATTTCAAGAAAAACATGATTAGAGATTAGAGATGGGAGTATCTATATACAGATACCCCCACAGCGGTGGGGTCTTTCTTAATTTCAAGAAAAACATGATTTGAGATTAGAAATGGGAGTATCTATATACGAATACCCCCACAGCGGTGGGGAAATGCTGCAAGGTCCGCGCTGCCACTCTATCATGCCGGAGATTGCAATCACTGATATGGGGCCAGACAGTCCACTCACCAATGCGTTAATGCTGCGAGGTCCGCGCTGCCACCCTATCGTGCCGGAGATTGCAATCACTGAGCCACTCCTGGCGAGAGGTGGGATGACAAGCCTCTCTGCCAGGTCAAAGAGTGGCTTGGTGATCACAATCTCCGGTGCGATAGGGTAGGTGCGCGGAGCCCGCAGCATTAGCGCATCGGTGAGCGGATCCTCGTTATCTCCACCTGTGCGGGGGTATTCGTATACGAATACAAATACCCCCATCTCTGTTAGAGAGCATTATTTAACATATAGAACATATAGAAGAACAAGGCTATAGAAGAATAAGCATGGCTTATGAAAAGGGAGCCTTGACGTCTCATCAGTCTTTTAGATTTCAGAAAGTCAGACAAGGGCGTCAAGAGAGTTTTTCTGGTAGGCACTCTATATTTGAGGTCCACATTTTTCTTTCTTTTATTTATTTATTTTTTAACAAAGCCCCTCATGAAACACTTCTGAGGTTAGGTTCAGCAGTCAAGGGTGCTTTTATCACTTAGCAATCAGAATGCTGTTGGGACAGCACCCGGTGCTGATGGAGTCATCACCTGCAGCTTTTTATCTTTAAGTAAACCTCCTCCCACAAGGCTCCCTTTCATCCTCGGGAAGCCTTTGAGCATCTCAGAACTGGGAGGAGGAGGAGCCCCAGCCAGTCTTCATCCTGGGAACAATAAGGTTCAGCTCCCAAAAGCTTCCCCAGGAACGAAAAGTATCCCTTGAGAACCACAGGACCGGGGAGGGGGAGGAGGGAAGAAGGAGAGTTTTATTTAAAAATAAAAGACCATAGTTGACAACATCATCAGTAGTATGTGTACACAGTTGAACTAACAAGATTCCAGCCACTAAGTAATTAAATAACAAAAAATGAAGGATAAGAGTAAAATAGACAGTTATCACAATGGAAGAAAGTATATCATAGTTGACTCAAGGATCTTTATTGGTTTGTTTAGTCAGTGACCAAGACATGGTGACTGTTGACTTCAATGGCTGGAGAGGAGAGCTGAGGTCAGTTATACAAAGTGCCGGGCAATGAAACTCTTGTCTCAAACACTGGAAGTTAATAATTGCTCGAAATTTTGGGACTTCACTTTTAAGTATCACTTTACAACCACACAGTATAGAAACTTACTTTAAAAAAAAGAAAGGTGATCTTAAAAGACTGAACATTGTATACCGTCACATTTTCCACTTTGCTTATAGAAGCAACATTCTTTTGCCAAAGACAAAGGCTATCCAGGCAGACAGAATTTTTGATAACTTAAATCAGGTTCTTTTTTTTAGTTATTCGTTGTCCCTTTTTTGTTCCTGTGCTGCTGTTTACAGTGCACACATGCTTGTGTGCAGCCACAACATACAAACAAATAGATCAGTGCAGGAGAAATAAGGGACAAGTCCTATTACAGGGAACATATAATATGTGAAACTGACTTTAAATCACAGGTTGCAAACCTGCCTTTCAGGCCCTGTGTAAATTTTAGATTGCATATTTAAATACATGCTAACACCATTGTCTTTGAATTCAGTGAAATTCCAAAGTGCTTTAACTGATCTCTCCACTTAAATCAGGCAAACTGCTGATGTGGAATGTTTCTGCTAACAATTGAAGACATAACTTCTTTGCTCAGGCATTTCCCTTTGCTACCACCTCTAGTGATTTTAATGACATACTTCACTGTTTCAATTTATAATTTGATTCATTGGTTTTACTTCTGTGAATGGCTTCAACATTTTTATCAATGAAAAGTACTGTAAATGTTTGTGTAAAAATGTGCACAATGTATTTGACAGCCCATATTTAGCTGCTACTCAGAAAGACTTGATAGTCTGACTTTTGTTATTTAACACGATGAAAAATAATTTTGCTGTGTTAATTATAACTGTTTTTGTTACTTTTGCAATTACAAAAATAATGTGGCCTCATTACTAATGGGCGATCTGTACCACAAGTTTGTATCATTTGAATGACTTTTTTTAAAAAACAAGTAACTAAGAAGTGATTATTTGAATTACTTTTAAAAAATGGAGAAGCAAAAAGTTGCTTTATAAAATTGCAACTGTAATGGTAACTGTCGCATCCACCCAGTGTCCTTTATTTATTTTCCCTAAACACAAGTCCACTCTCTGGATGCGTTTCCTCACTTCATGCTGCCACCAGGTATTATTCCCTCAATACCAAATAGGGTAGACCTTACACAGGTGCTGCCAATACAACAAATGTATTGATCTTATAGTTGTTATGCAAATCACAGGAGAAAATCACAGATGTTTAAGCTCACTGAGTAAATATCATTTGATTTCACTTTGCTTTCTATGTGTTCTTATTCACTGAGAAAATCACAGATGTTTAGGCTCATTCAGTAAATATCATTTGATTTCACTTTGTTTTCTATGTGTTCTTATTCACTTTTACAATATTCTTTGACTATCAATTTATTTATGCATTTCAACTCTTTCCTATTCTCTCTAGCATTCCAACTTTCCAATTTCTGTCTTAACTTTCTCAATTCAATCTCCTAACTCTCTCTCCTCAATTCCGTATCTCCAACCTCTTTTCTCTAACTCTCCTCTCCAACTGTCTAACTAATTGTCCAACT